ACCGAAATACAATGTTAGGAAATACCTGTTCATTACATTTAGATACATAGTTTGAGACTGACTTATTTCCAAAGTGTTCCTTCACAGAGAGTTATATTCACATGCACCTTATATGTTTTCTACATTCTCCACCATATTACACCTCATCACAATATTTATAAGAAAAAGGCTAACCTTCAGACATTGACATTTAGTATGAACATCTGCAATGTATAAGAAACCCTGAATAGTAATTCGATTGCACCGAGACAGATGTAGGCTGGTAAAATCATAAGGCACAGTACTATGCATAGGGAACATGGGTTTTTCTCTCAGCAACACCGACGTACTGACCTCGCTAGCCCATCTGCAAGAACTGTATTTGGATGAAAGTCACTGCGCCCTCCGAGTACAGGGACTACGGTCACCTATCCAAGACTGCTCTGATGACCCAAGGATTTTACATGTTACAGCGGGAGTTAGAAAACTGTAAGGTATCAGTGGAGTTTTAGAACACACAAGGGCTCTTTTATGGCAAATATGAAGTGCATACATTTCCCCAAACCCTTATCAAATTAAAGTAAAACCAAAACCAAACAAAAAAAAAACCCCAAAAACCCCACCATCAAGTGGTATCTGTGGTAAACACTAAATATAAAAACGTGACGTCCAATTTTCAAAACTGCCAGGTACCCACAGCTCCGAGTGCTCGACATATGCAAAAAGCTGCAGGTTTTATCATTAAGAAAAAGTCTGCCAGCGCAGTTTGTTTTGAATCTCAGCCGGGTACTGCAGAGAAGTACCGCGGATCTTTCCATATTATTTTGGCTCTCCGCTTCCACAACAGCGTTAAAACTTTGGCAGGCAGGGGATTTGTATCAATCATTTCAGCAGAGATCTCCGGGTGCAGAATCAGCCTTTTGCTTGTATGGCTAGGATTAGTAAGACATTGCTGAGATCATCGTGTATGTGTTTCACAGACAAAACAGCTATTAGTATTAAACAAGAAAAAAAGAGAAGAGCTGTAGTCTGCAGTGAATAGCCCCTGCGTCTATTTCGGAGGTAGTTTTAAAGAGGATGACCATGGCAAAGAACCTCTACTGATAAATTGCTGCTTAAAAAGTTTTCAACTGCACGGAAGTCCTAACAGGTCACAACGATTGTAAACCATTTCAGACTGAGCAACACACTCACGCTTCCGCAAAAGTCACCTTAAAGCTTTCCAGTTAGTCTGTTCTGAATTCTTCGGTTACCGGGCAGCTAGAGTTCCTATTCAAGCTGGATGGGAAGGATAAAAAACTAGTAAAGAGTATCTTGTAAGCAGAAGATCTCTATAATCAGGTCACTGTTGTGAAAGAAGCTTCACGTTCAGCAGCTGGAATTAGTAAGATCAAACTTGTAAAGAACTGAAGGCAGCCTGGGTGTCTGTCTGTGGTACCACGTTCTGCGGGGAAGAGGAATACTTCACTGTCCCACTGAGTTCAAATAAAACCACGTTTTTTCCCTGCAACTCGGACAGGCAGACAGTATTTGGACCCCTGTCTAAAAGCAATGTTCATCTGTCAGATGCGATGCTCATGCTTTGTCATTTGTTTATATAAAAATATTGCTAAACCAAACAGGTAAAAATGCAGACAGTAAACAGAGCTTGTTATTTACAATGCAGAGACTAGCAGTGTAGTAAAACAGAGGGAACACTATAAGAAACATTTTAAAACAAGTTTAATTGACTTTTATAAACGTGATGTCTGTTTTGCTGTAAACCCAAGTAATTTGCATTTGTTTTGTGCTAACTTCCTAGAAGAACGTGACTGAAGTGCCAGTGGAACCTCACTAGGGCTGGCAGATTAACAAATTTGCAAAGCAAAGAGCTACCACAAAAATAAAAGCTGTCCTGTTAATCTATTTAGACAAGTTTAGTTTTAGACTACTTTTATCGTGCTAACCAGTCTCACAACTAATGAAAATGATGGACTTCTGGCGTTCAGACCTCACGAGTTTAGCTTTCCAAAGAACAAAGCGCGCACTTGGGATCCGAGCGTATCTCAGTCAAGACAGCCGCTGTGACCGTGACCACCCTTCAGAAATGACACGGTCCAAGCCTCCACGCGTGGCTGTGGGCAAGTCCTGCGCTAATTCACAGGGAACTCAGCAAGTCAAGTGCTTGCAGGGCCGATTCCTCAGCGCTCTCCCAGACACAAGATTTACTAGCTTGCTTGGAGGGCTCTCCCAGTTTGGGAATACTGTTCACTATTCACTGAAAGCAAACATTTTATAAAGAAAATGGGGCTTAGTAATTAGAAACAAGACCAAAATATTCTCAGCTGTATTCCCTGGGTTTTGAAGAAGTCCTTTTCAATATAGGAAAAATCTGCTGAGGCTGCCTCCTCCTCCTCCTCACCTACTCTGGCTATATAGACTAGAGACCCAAATTAGCAAGACAGTTAACCATGCATTTGATTTTAAAATACAGTAGTCCCAAGTAAGATCCAGTCTTAAACATACACAACTCCTAACGGGCACCCTGTGCAGTCAGGTCATGCTGAACACATTTTCTAGATAAAAAGCAATGTTCTTTCCAGCTAATGACTTTATCTGCAGTTTTATAGCACCAGCCTTTAGTGAGATTGCTGTGTGCACACCAGAGCCTGTTACATGAGAAGTTACCTCCTAGTAACCAGTTCCCAGAACTCACAGGAGAATGATTATGCTACATTTGCCATTTTATAGATGAAACTGGTTTAGAACCAAGACGCTGCTCTGCATTCCTAAGAGAAGACCTGTTTGCACAGCTCCTAGCACACCAACACTGCGCTGTCCTCTGCCCGGCTCCAGGCACCACCATCACTCTACAGCCCCTGCATGAAGTGTTTTCTATGCCTCTTTCCTAACAAGCTATTGCTCCTGAAAGGTTCCCTTCTCCTCACTCTCCAGGTATACTTTATAAAAAAAATGCATAGAGTAAAGGGCAGTGGAGGAAGAAGAACGTTTCTGGCTCTGAAAACGTGCCACATCTATTAGAGATTCTACTAAAATCGATGGTATCTTCTGCTACTTCCCCCCAAAATGCACTTCCCTGATCTCCGTTCAAATACAACTTCACTCAGCCGACCAAAATAAAAGATACCAGTCATGCATTATTATGAAGTGAACCATGAACATACCATACACGCTTGTATTACTTGTAGCTGCACGGATAAAGGCTAGACTGTTATTTTAATATCATTACTAAGCTTATTGAATTTACACTTGTAAAACAGAAGAACTCAGAGAGGCCAAGTACACGAGAACCTCGGTTTAAACGACAGGCCTGGAAAGCCTAGAGCTTTGGCTCTATCTTTTTGACTCTTTATACAGGCCTCCACCCAGCACTTCAGCAGTGCTGTGATTAAACAGCAGAGCAGAAGATGCAGCCCCATCTTCTCAGAGGGAGGGTCTTGTATTGAACATGCGGTCACCTTATCTTAAAAATCACCCTGATAATTCCTTTGTTTGTATACTGAGAGCCTCCTTGTTTTAACATTAAAAACCTGCTACAGAGAAACTCATTACATTTAAAACCTTCCGTTCATAAAAGCTCTAAATTGTATTTAAAATTGTGTTCAGGCACCTGGCAAGAGATCAGATGTTTTTGTAAATGGACTCAGGCCATGTGGCTGCAAGAATTAACAACCCGAACGAGTTGTGCTGTCGTCATTACAGGTCACACCACCTTTTCATGTTCTTGAAAGATAAAGGAAGAGGAAATACAAGCTCATGTATTTCAAGAATGAGAAAAACGTAGGCATTTCTCTCTCAAAGACCCAAAGGAATACAATTAGGAATAAAGCAATTCTTCCCATAACGTATTTTGATTTGCATCAGTTCTTGCACCTTATCAATCTTTCCTGATATTTCACAGATTATGCTTAGATTTTGGAGCACGCTTGCAATTATTAGGTGTGCCCCCCACCCCCATTTTCTAGTTACAGTCCTGAGGCTTAAAAACTTTTACTTGTCTGATAGGGGAGGCATGTTTGCTTTTTATTAAAAGAGCTCCATGGAATTCAATGGAATTCACTCTACACACACACACAAAAAAAAAGAAAGAAAGAAAAAAGACATTTTTAAAATGACCAGAATCTCAAACATGTATATAAAACAGCTCTTTAAGTTCAACATTTTTGTTTTGGGAACACAGGAAAACAAACACACACACACCTGGCAGAACTGATGATTTAAATTTGAGCTCCAAAGAAACATACAATTGATTCATCAGCCCTGAACAAGCTGGCTCACACTTGTGATGGACCAGTCCTGATCTTGAATTCCCCTACCAGTTTTCCATAGACTTTTAAGGGAAATAGCAAGCGTACAGAAGTTACTAGTTTTATTTAGATATATCCTCTGTTTCATGGTATTTCTAACCTCCTCTGGAAAAAAAGAAAATTCAGATAATAAAATTTCAACACCAAATTCCTTTGGTGTCTACATGCCATGGTATTTTTAAAAAATCTCAGCCAGGATAGATAAGGGAAAAGCAGTGCAGAGAAATAAAATTCGTCAAACCTAAGTTAGCAATTTGCAAGTTAAGTTCCTAATGCATTACATTAACATGTTTGTGCTTTTGACAAATGATGAAAAACTCTCCCCAGAATAAAAAGAGTTCAGTTGGAGATTAACTGAAAATACGTATTTTAAATCAATTTCCCTTGCTGTCTTAAGCAAATGAATCTGTTAAACCATCCTGATAAGAAACAGTTTGATTTCTAAAACAGCATTATTAAATAGCACGTCCGCCAAACTCATTTTACTCAACAGCTGACCTACCCAGTAATGTAATATGCACCACATTGTGAGTGAAACAATTGGATAAAAGTTAGCCCTTTAAATGCGTACATTTTGACTGAACTTTTTATATTCAAGATTTAGCCTCTAATAAAAAGTAAATCCATTAAAAACCTCTGCATTTAACTTCCTTACACATTATTAACAAACAGTTAAAATCCAAGGTATGTATTCTGGAAATACATAGCTCTCTATTAGCTGACCAGTTTGGGTAGCACAGTACATAGAGGTATACCGCCATTGGAGTCGGATGTTAAGTTAGCCCTCAGCTTGTTCGCTACTCCAACTACGGGAGGCAACTTGGAACCTATTCCTGCGAAAGAACTTGTATAGCTAGAAATCCGTTTACTGGAGGTTTTATCAGTGCTGGGTGGTTTGGGCGTTCGTTTACAAATCCAAGGGTGCCTTAAAGCTTGACTCGGAGTCATGCGTGCGGAAGGATCCCAGCTGAGGCATTCTTTTAAGAACTCTATGAACAAGGGATCGTCGCAGCCTTTCAGTGCCGTCACCCAGTCTTTGTTCCCTGGAGCACCTCGTATTTTGCCCCGGCGCGATCGACTCCCATTAAGGGTCACTCTTCCATCCGCATGCATAGTTACAGTGCAGTAGCGAGGATGACCCTTAGAGTTGATGAAGTTCTTGGCTCGCTTGGATTGATCCAAAAGCTTCCGAGGTGGCATTCCAAGAAGTTCCATCATACAAGCCAGTTGGTCTCCCTCATCCTCTCCAGGAAAAAGAGGATATCCAGTCAATAGCTCCACCAGAATACAGCCAAAACTCCACATGTCTATAGGCATCCCATAGCGACTTCCCAGAATTACCTCTGGTGCCCGATAAAATCGAGACTGAATATACGTGTAGACTCTTTGGTGCTCAAAACAGCTGGACCCGAAATCTATAACCTTGATTCCACTCCTCCCTTGCTGTTTTAGGAGGATGTTTTCTGGCTTCAAGTCACAGTGTATGATTTTGTTTCTATAAAGGGCATCCAAACACTGCAGGATAGAGTGAGCAAACTTGCGTACCAGTTGGATACTGAAGCCCTGAAACTTATTTCTTTTAATCAGCTCATACAGGTTCATACTCAAGAGTTCAAAGGTCATACAGATGTGGTTCCGAAAGGTAAAGCTTTCCAGCATGTGAATAACATTCATACTGCCCGTTTTATCCTGCTTCTTCAGATGCTCCAGAATCCGGATTTCTTCTGCTGCTTGGCGATGGAATCTCTTTTCATTGCGAACCATCTTTAAGGCTAAGTGTTGGTGGAGTTTGTGATCGTAGACTTTAGCAACTTGTCCAAAACTGCCCTTGCCAATGATTTTAAGTACTTCATACCGGTAAGCGAGATGGTCGTGGGGCACATGAATGTAGCTGCCTTGGTCATCATCATACCCTCCGTTGTTGGGACCACCAATAACTCCTTGTCTCTTTTTTGCAGCTGGACCCACAAAGTAAATTTCAGAAAAATTAAATATCTCTTGCTGCTCATAAGCAGACAACTGATGTTTGTACTGTTTGACAGCTTGCTCTGGGGCTTGGGAAATGGCTTTATGTGCTTTTGAGGAACTACCACCACCTTTCGAAGTGCTTATGCTCTCTATACTTTTATCTTTTGTCAGGGAAGGGAGAGATCTTTCTGAACCAGTAATTCCTGCAGACTGAAGAGTGCTACTCCTTCTGTTGCCAGAGTCCTCAAATAACTGCTCCACTTTGACCTGACTTCCAGTCAGAGGGTGATCCTTCATTGCGAGTTTGTTGCTAGAAACCTACAGATGGAAAAACAAAAAAATAAGCTTTATCTTTTAAAGCACAGACTACGAATAAAATCAATACTGCACAAAACCAGTAACGTCAACAGGATTTGCATTTCTGTTAGGGACAAATATAAAACGCTGGACCTTAACTAGCTCAAGGTACAAGCATAGTTACAGAAGGGTACACAAAGAGAATGCAACTTACTGAAACAAGCACTTGCACAAACGTAGTGCATTTTTAAGTCCGTAAAGGGCAAACCCTAGACAGTCAAGCGCTCAACCAAGGACACAATACCTATCTCTACTAGTATGCACGTAGTCAGCAAGCAGCCGGGGGACAGCTATGTTTAGCTTTAAACGTGGGTGCAGCAAACACAACCAAGGACAGATGCAACTTGCACCTGTCTGAAACACGCAACATAACATGAACGTGCAGAGAAGTGTTAGGAATATTGCAAAGACAAGTGTGCCAAAGGAAGACAAAGAAACGACAGCAAGTGACATAAGGCTGGTGTGATCAAGCTGAGCAAGGAGCAAAAGGGTGACAGAGCAAGGCAAGATAAACCAAGCTCTTTTTCTGAAAAACTGATGTTTTTTTCTTTGAAGGGGAAAATACCATCATACCCACAAGTGCCTTTGAAATCATGACAGCTGCACAGCTATCTTAAGACAGACTTGGAAGCTTTGAATAATCAAGAATATCTCTTACTCCAACTTTGTTGACAGCAGTCTGTAACCACTGCCTCTTACTGCCATGTTAAAATATTTACATCTGAAATGAACGCACAGGAGGTGAGAAAAGCATTGTGAAATTCTTCAAGCTTGTCATTTTTACAAATTATTAAATGCTCAACTCCCTGCAGTTCAGTTCCTTACTTGAACAGCAGTTATTCCCCTTCTCTACTCACTGACGCTCCATGCTGACAGACAGCAGAGAGGTGGTGTCTTATCCTGTGCAACACTGAAGAAGCCATGATTAGAGTAGCAACATCTGTTTTCCATTTTGTCCTTTAATCTAAAAATAAACATTTGAGACACATGCCAAACCGAATCCCTGAAAACCAAAATAACTACACGGGAATCAAACAAAAAATATAAATAAACCTGCAGATCCACAGCAATAAAACCAAATTCCTTTTTAGTTACATACAATCCAACATCCCAGCACAGTCAGTAAATAAGGGAAGTGAGTGTTCTCGCCAAAAACAACTACACGTCTCTTTTAAGAGTCTGTTTGCCTGTGCTGCCTTGAAATGTTAGCTCTTGCTCACAAGCCCCCAAAAAATGAGCATTTCCTGCAGAAGTCAGTCCTTATCAATAGCGACTAGGGGCCATCGGCTATATCCTACTAAGTTCCACCATTCTGAGTCCTATCAACACAAAAACACAGTGCACAGTAAGAGACACGCCTTTCCAGAAAGTCTTAAATAAAAAAGAAAACCACCAAAGCCCAGCCCTGGTAACTTAGAATAAATGCCTTTTTCTCAGAGTCTGGCTGAACCTCCGAGATAAGAATGACATATTTTCAGAACTGGCTAAAAGATTATTCAGTCCAGCAGACTCAAACAGTAAGTTTACAAATAAACAGAGAACATAAGCACAGAAGGAGGTTCACACTTGTTTGTTTTCTGAAGTTTTCCGGGGGGGCAGGAGAGAAGGGAGGAAAAACAAAACAGAAGGAGCCTGTCCTTCTACAGTAGAAGTCTTATTTTCACCTTTGCAATCAAAACTCGATATTCCTCCTACATGGGCTTCGACTGCATGCACAAGAGGAGCAGCTTTTTACCACGGTGACTTCAGAACAGACACAACTGCACCTCTGCAGCCAGCCACCCTAACGCGGAACATCGCCGTGACAGTTTGCATTAGCAGGGCTCGGCAGCACAGACTCCTCTAGCTGGATGAATGAATTAACCACCAAGACTTCAAAACGCGCTACTGTATCGCACAAATTTCTTTCAACTATTTGATTTCCAACAAATGGTGTTAACAGTCTGAATGTCATAAATCATAGCAACATGATAAAGTGTGAAAGCCTTGCAAACAGCGCTACATCTAAATATTCCCTATTCAGGAGCAACAGCAACTCTGCTAATGCTGTTTGTGGCAAACATTCTGTACCTTTGAATCCTTCAATAAACAAGGAATTCATGATTCCATTTATCCCAAAACTATTTCTTAATGAAGAAACTACAGTTAGAGATCTCAAACCCGACTCAACAGCCATTCAGTAGCAAGGTCTAAATGTTCATTCTTAGACGACTACCAAAATCACTTGCCACGTGACGGTGAGACACAAACATAGATCAATCTTAACTTGAACTCAGAAGAGCTGCAGCTTAAAGTCAGATGACTTCTGGGTAACAGCAGCTTGCTTTCAACAGCTTGCTTTTGCAAGTCACAGGCTGCACAGGTTTTGTTTTCTTGATAAAGTGCTATTAGCAGCCAAGAAATTAGACTGACAACACAAGTGGCAGCCCGTTGAAAATTTTCACGTACTTACAAAACTTCACTTTAATTGAGAAGGAAACAGTTAACCCAGTTCCTACAAAATTGGTTTTGCAAAAGTGCATTAGCTATTTTCTGAATACTGAATTAAAACTCTCAAAGCAGAGATATTTACGTTCTCTTATAGCTAAGATGAAAAGAATGGACAGCTGCAGGCATCAGAAGTTTTCAATTCTCATGTAACATTACATCGCAATACAAAAATCTTGCAAGAAGGAAACCAAATATCACTTAATTCCAGATACTTTCCCATTAAAATTGAGCATCGTGATTTTCATCCTTACATGCTTCATCTCGGTTTCTGCTCGCAAGATACCACTCAGGTTGGATTTTTTTGATGTGTCATTATGGCAAAACTAGGCATTTTATAATCCTTAATCTTGCCTTCAGAAGTTAACAGGCTTGATGGACAAAATACAGGTGAAGAATAAGATACACCAGGGAAACAAAATATTCATAGAGTTATATTTGTACTTAAGCGGATAGTTCCACGGATTTCTGTTCGGTTATGACCAACCATAGTTACACTACAACTTTAACACTGCAGCTTAAGAGTTCCCACCCCTCCACAAAAAAACAAATCCACTACTCTTCAAACTCTACTGCTCCACAAATCTCTACACTTCTTCCACTCTCCCTCAATATTGCCAAAAAGGGAGAACACAGACCCATGCTGCTGAGTTTGCTCAGTGAACAGCACAGACCACATTAATTACTAATATCTGTTACAATAAATTCCCACAAGGTGATGATTTTCAAATGCATCTTACTCAGTGAAATGTCTATTTTCACATTTTAGAGAGTGTTTTTTTAAGCTCAAGCTTCTTCACTTCTGCCAGAACTCAACAAGAGCCAAAACACATTTAAAAACCATATAAAGGTCAGATCACTGTACAGCTAAACATGACCACTGCTGCTCAGCTGAATTAAGTTAAGGAAAGATCTCCTAACTCCACATCTGCTGAGGAAACACAGCACTTATAAAGAAGCACGTTAACACCTTCAGTCCATAAAGAGCTATTTTGCTAGCAAATGTAAAGGCAGATAATGCCAAAGTTTTCAGAGGAGAAAGATACTTTTGTAAGATGTTTGGCAGCCATGCAAACCCACAGTGCTCCTTCTGCTGTTCATAAGTACTTATCTCTTGGAATTTTCATGAGGGAAACTAAAATGGAAACGTGCAAGAGTTAAAGCAAAGCATGTGTGGATTTACATACTTATCAACATACAAGGTGACAGGGCAGAATGCTTCAACTGCTTGTAAAATAACTTTCTGGATTAAAACATGAGCTGAGGGTAGTAAGATAGGATTTCTGAGGCTGCCTAGCAAGTTCTACATTGAACACAACACCCCAGCATTTCTATGCGTAGCAAAATGTTAACAAGGTATTACAAAGCTGCAACATCCCACTTTTTAAATTCATTCTCTATAGTGAGATACCTAACTCCTTGACAGTTTTCACTGCCACACAACACAACTCGGTGAAGACCCAGACAACTGTAAAAATACTCACATTAGATCTTCCAAGGGAAGGGAGTCCTGAGGGGCTGTGTTCTTCATTTGTAGACTCTTGGTACCTGATCTGATCTATCCTCATATAGGAGTCGTATAATCCATCTCCAAACCTGGCTGGAAACATCCCATATACAAACCAGTTAGTCACAACAATTCACGTTGATACAAACGCTGAAATGTAGTCTCACTTAGTGCACGTTAGTCTGTAAGATCATCAGTTCTCATTCATTTATTAAATGATCTTTAGAATTTAACTGTATTTTAATAGCACAACAGAGTGCAAAGCTCTTGGGAAATCTTAATTTGTGACACTTTTGATTTGGAACGCCTCTTTTTTCAAGCAACTTCTGCGCTGCAAATACATCCTTAAGAAACATTAACCAACATACTCCCCTTTTTCCCTTAGGTAGGATAACCCCAACCTAACCCCACTGTGAACAACGGAAAACGAGCATACACTTAAATACTTGATAGCACCAGCCTTTAAAGTAGGCTGTCCTCTAAAAATGGTATGTGGGAATTACAGTTAGCAGCTTTGCGGCGG